GATTCAAGAGAGCTGAGTAGAACCAATGCATCAAGAACACTGAATGCTGATTCTCCATCACAATAAAAACACCGATATGAATGAGGGAAGGAACAAACCATACCAGCGTAACTGGACAGCCTATCTTGGAGGTTCACTTCTATGTTTAGGATTAGAGTTCCTCCAATCTTCACAGCCCATTTAATCAAGTCCAAGTGCTTCCTTTCACTGCCTGCTCTCCTAATCTATGTAAACCAGCTCAGTCAGGCATTTTTCATTGAATTAATGCATATTAATGGGCAGTAATACATTTGTACTATTGCATACATTTTGTTGAAGTACAGTTTTCCATCTAAAGCATTTTATTCACAATGCTGCACGGTAACTGCATCCACAATTGTATCTTCAGTGATTATTCATTACAGGAATAATACAGCTACGCCAAACACTGTATTTTAGTGGTTTTTTTTAAAAAAAACAACAAAAAATATGTGATTATATTTGTAGACTGATTATTGTCATTAAATAATGAAAATAAGTTTCTGTTCAGCTACTGGGGAAAAGCAGTGGACAGGTAGAAATCAGGCTTCTTTCAGATATGAACAGAAATGGTTTTTAAGAAAGATAGAAAACAGTAGATGTAGGGTTTGGACTAAGCTTGACTCCATGGTTTGGATGCAGAGATTATGAAGCACATGAAATGTAATAAATACAAATAAACATGTGCCAAGTGGTAGTATAAATTGGGCAAAACAGAAACTTAGATTAGATGACTGGAAAGTTGTCAGATAGATATCTCATTCACATTGAGGTTTTCATGTACTTACAGACCTGGCAGATCTCTCACTAGAGTCTGTCTTTAAGCTCAGATAGAATTGGGTATGAATAAGGGACAGTTGTTGTTAATGGCAGAACAGTTGCTCAGTGTAATGCAATGCATGTGTTAATCAGTAGATGTTGGACATGCTCATGCTTCCTTTGAAGCAAATACTATGTAATGGAGACCTAAGCAGATAAAGAAGGCTGTGGAAGTAAATTTGGCTTCAATTCACACTGAGTCATCTTTTCTCTGGGCTCACCTTTCTCCTCGTGCCCTGCGAGATGCCCTCATTCCGTCACGGGGTACCCTTGGGAAAACAGGCTATGCAGTGTGCTTCAGTCAATTTGCTGCCACAGTAGGAAAAACCAGAGATACAAGACACCATGTGGAACAAGATTGATGGGATAATAATGTGTGTCCATCTTTTTCAGTGGAAAATTTCAGCATCAATTATTGTGTCGGCTGTAATTGGGTTGTCTGTTGAGGAGAGGCAGACAATGCCATTGTTCTAAAAAGGCAGGAGGCTCTGTCCTTTCCTATCATGATTCAATATCTTCCTGAAGGGAAGAAAGGCAACTCTTAAACTTAGCTGCAACTAAACAGGCAAACCATAATTAGCTGCAGCAAAATAATTAGTAACAGAAGTACCTTGAGGCAATAAGCAATTCCAGTTACTCCTATGGAGGCATTTTGACCTCACTCAGTGCCTATTACACATAACTTTCTGGAGTCTTATTGATATCACAGTGCCAAGACCTATGGGATCTGCCAGAGTTTGTTTCCATCACTTACCAAGGTAACAGCAGTTCTACAATTGCTTAAGAGATTAATTATCTTGTCAGATAATTAGACAGCCTGTAAGGGAGGTTCCCATTTCATAACTGATTTATCGCTTCAGAAGCTTCCCAGATTTAGCTTCTTTACATGAAAACTTCCATACCAATAGAAAAGTGTTAAGATATGGTTGAGTTCAGGGGAGCTTTGGGTACCTTTAACTTACCTGTCCAGGATTTTTTCCTGATTTTTTCCTGGGTTTGTGAGGCACGTGGTATTGATGCAGTAAACCCCACATCTATTTCATTGGAGCAAAACTGTGAGTAATATATAAACTTTTAGGGCGGATGGCTATTTTCATTTTGGTGGCAGCAGAATAACATTGGCTGAATGACAAGATCAGATTTTTAAAGTGAAGTGCTGCTGCAGTGAGTGTTAAAGTTACTTGGTCACCTGCTGGTCTAATGATCAGGTCACGATTTTGGCAGACCCAAGTTGGGCTACTGCATTTTGCTGTCCAATACTGGTCTTGCAGGACTGTGAGAGGTCCTGTGTATGAAAAACACATTCAGAAGAGCTTAGATCCCATAGCAGCACTTAAAGGCAGATTTTCTAGTCTGTTTCCCCATCTAAATACTGGTGTTTTCTGGGAAGCTCATACAGACTGAGGATATAGGGCTTATTTCAAACCATTAGTCCTTCAGCATATTGTGTCTCTTCTGTGCAACAGGGAGAGATAGGATTGCCCAGTATCCTAAGGGAGGTTGGTCTTGTAGGAGACAGTGAAGTGATCCATGATGAGGTAAGTACAGAGTGAATTAACACTTTTTATGTGCACCAGCTCATATTTGTTTTCCTTGAAAGCGTTTGTGAGACTTAAAGGGCTTCTTGGGAATTTGTAACATCAAGTGTCCAAAGTTTCATTGGATATATCTGAGACAGAAGGCAGTAAACAGAAATGCCATGCACCATTTAGCTTACTCCTAATGTAGAACTTCATGTGAAAGTGTGACACACAGAACTAGGAAAGCTGGCTCTCCTGGTAAAATAAGGCAATTTTCATGGATTTTCTTAGAGGAATATGTATTACTTATACGAATATGCTAACATTTTGTTGGAGCATATGTGAAAAACCCTGTCTATTTGCCTGCCAAAGACCTTCCCAGGAAAACAGTTGTGCTAACCTGTTTAAATAAAGCATCCACCAGGATGTTATAATACTAAGTGAATGGGAAAATACATCAAGAAGAAAATCTGAGATTGCATTTTGAGTCTCTATGTGTTCTGAGGGGACATTGGTCTGGGGCAGTTTATTCCAGCCTCTAGTTAACATGAATAATTGTTTTGTTTCAGGCTAGAAACTCTCGGCTATCAATAAAATGCAGTTGGTGTAGTCAGCCTCCTGTGGGGTACTTAATGATCCATAAAACTGTTTAAAGAGAAGCTGCCAACCTGATTTTGGCCCAACCTGTGACTTTAGTTTTGATGTATCTGCATCATACACATGCTTATTTGCATTTTCTGGCTGCAAAGTGGAAACTTCAGAAAGCATAGTATTATCTTCACAAACTTCATTTGCCTCTTTTATATGAACCTGGAATTGAATATCTTATTTCACAATAAGATCACAGCTGTAACTTCCAAATCACCAGTGTCCTGTGATCCTTCTCCCAAAGCATTGGAAGACAAGGTGACTTCATTATGGAAATGATGGAGAGGGCAATGAAAATGACTGAAGAAGAAGCCTCTACCTTCAGTGCCTCTACAAATGTGCTTACTTGAAAGCATTGTTACTACTTGACTTGCCTGTATTGTGCATACATGCACCTTCTTACAGCCACACTCTGGGGACCACGTGGCAAATACGCACTGTGATTGCATTGTGTGATGGTGAAACTCCAGCATACAAGCATGAGAAGCACGGTCAGGACCCTGCTGACATTTGAGACCTTTCCACCTCAGATGTGGCAAATGGTACGGCAACACAAATAAACTTGAGAGCATCCATTTGCCTTGTCTTTGGCCTTGCTTCACCCAGCTTTGAATGTTCTCCATTGAGCCTATAGAAATGGGAGCTGACAATGCAGATTGCTACTTCCCTGTTGCTTCCCCTGCCACACTTTAGACTAGTACATCTTACTTGAAATTGTTTGCTGTCATAGCCAATCTCTTTAAGGACTCGGGGAAGAACACTTTAATTAGCCCTGATGAAGCGGCAGGAGCCAAGTGAAGCCTGGTAGCTCTTACTCTCCTTATGTTTGTATTTCCTGCCATATATACTTGCTGGCAGAATTTTAAACCTGGCTAATTACACTTTGTGGTGTCTAGACGTCTTTAGCAAGTGCTTCTCTCCTTTCCTACTTACAATTTAAACTTGCATGCTCCCCCTACTCACCCTGCACAATATCCAGATAGACACAACACAGAGCACTTGACACTCAAGGAAAAAAAAGAATGAAGACAAGCTTGGGGGAGATTGGAAACTGCACCATAAAAATCAGCCATGATGTCCCAGCTTCCCCAGTCACCAACAGATCCTTGCATCAGTTTTACATCACTCCATCAGCAAGGGCTCCTTGAATCAAGTTCTAATCCTTGCCTCCCAGTCTCCCAAGGAAGGCAAGTCAGACCTTTCACTGCAGATCCAAATGCTATTTGTCAACTCATTGCCTGTTTGCTGTTAGTTTTCTTTCACACTGAAAGAGCTCAAATGATGAGGAAATTATACTGCTTCTTTTAAAGAAGCCATCACATCGTATGAGTGTGTTTGTTACTGGTAATGAGAGGATCAACTGCCCTAGGCTAAATAGTCAGGGTGGGATTGTGGGAAGAGATACATCTGCAGACACAGAGCTGTGAAAATGGCACAAGCACATCAGTAGAAAAGCTTGTGACAGAGCAGACCTGCTGCCCTCATCTCAGCATTTACCCTCCAGGAGGCATCACATTAGGGTGTTACAGAGAGCATACGGTTCAAGCACACAACCAGGAACTCTGACATGTCACTGCACACTAAAAGAGCACCTGGGGTTGTCCAGATACACTGAACCTTCACCTGCAGTCTGCTCAGCTCCCCTCACACTATGAGGTGAAGCACAGGCATGGCTTCCCTTCTACTGGTTTTCACTTGCTCTCCCTGCCCTTGTCAAACATGACAGGTTTTGTAAGCTGTATTAGAGAGCAAAATCCCTCTTCTAATTTGTCCTTCAAGAGAAAAAGCACACAGAAGCCAGATGCCCAATATATGACTTTGTTAGATACTAGGCTAAGACAGAACAGATGATCATCTGGGAAGAAATCATACTGTTGTTAATAGATCCTTCAGCAATATTAGCAGACTGCTACAGCTTATATTACTCTCTTGAATCTCAGCTGCTTTTTCCTCTGTACATGTTCTACATTCACCGTTCTCTTTCTTTTCTTACAGATAAAGCCATCATTCAGATCCTGCTCATCTGCCACTCCATTTCAGCAATTTTCCCCAACTGATGTTTCAATGATTCTCCTCCTCTTTCCTCACTTATCTAACATCCAGTTCTATACCAAGGGGAGGGAAAAATGGTTTATTTCCATGGGACCAAAAATAACTGAAACCATTAAAATTCAATTCCTTCACTGCTTTGTATCAGAAAATTTGACCCACGGCAATTAGGAGAACTTGGCAAACTAATTTTTGTAAATGGGCCAATTAGAATCTGTACAGGTATTTCTGTAGGTGAAATGCTGCTTTGCTCCTATCATGGCTGCTGCCTCAGAAGTTCATCAAGCCCAATGGTTACACATATACAGCATACATAAATTATACATAATCTCACATGAGTTAGAATATAATTATATCATGCGTATATAACTGGAAGAATGTCACGCATCATGAAGCCATAGTCTGCTACAGAATGATTATCCAAACCTTTCCCCTCCAGAGAAGACAGTACATTGCCATACCTGGTCAGACGTTCAGTTAGGAGCTGAGCAGCCGTGTAACATGTCTTCCATGAGTTCTGCTCTGAAACAACTCTATTTGAAGGAAGTAAGTTAAGGCAGTTACAACTCTTGACACCAAACAACAATAGATGCATATGTTGATATAACAAACTGTGAGTGCTGTGACAAAGAAACGTTATACTTTTTGCTGAGAAGGGTTCCTTGTTTTCAATGTAGTGGGAAAGGGACAATGGGTACAAAGTGGCTTGAAAACATTCAGGAAAAAAAACATTTCAGAATGACAAGACACAGCCATGAAAACTTTCTCAACCCCCCAAATCCAATAAGCAACACAGGAAGACTTCCAGAGAGGTACCACTTGCATAATTTCTAAAGCAATTGTTGTGAATAGAGCAGAAACTTCCTCCTTACTTACCTCCATTCTCACCCTTAGTAGAACTGGCATTCCCTCAGGAAACACCAGATCAAAAACACCCCCTGCCACTTATTTATAAATACCTCCTCATTAAATACTTTGCATAATGACTGAGGAAAACAGTGGGCCCTGGGTGACTCTTCCTCTCACAACAGCTCATGGGCTTCAGCTGCAATTATTTCCAATGGTAATTGTAAAGATAACACCATTTAAAATATCTAATGTTTTATTCAATATTTCAGGTAAGTTTCAATTACTTCCAATTATAAATCAACAGCTTTCTATTTAAAACAATTATTGCCCTTTATAACCTCTTTCAAGTCAAATAAACTGTTTGCTTTTACTCATCATTGGCTTCTTCCATAGGAATTCATTCTAGGCCTTTCATTAACCCCTTATGTGCCTCCTGACTCTACAACACAATCAAGCCTCTGACAAAAAGCTGCCAGTGCAGCCCCTGAGACAATCAAAATCGATTAAACTCATTAAAACCCAATATGACTCAATTACAGGCAACAAGATACAATTGTGATTAATTGAATAGTGCTGGGGTACTTGGTACTCAGCAAAGGCCACTGGGGTGAGGATGAGCTCCATCTCTAGGAAATGAGGGTGTCACCATGAGCAGTGATTTCTTGTATAAGCACAAAGCAAGCAAGGGGAATAGTGTTACATACCATCTTAAAACAGGACCACTGTGGCATTCTTTGCTTCATTGACTTTGTGGGGAAACAGTGCTTGAAGGAAGAATCTCCCAAAGACATGCATGCAGTGATGTTAGCCTATGTGTTATTTTCCTATGTCTTTGTAGCATAAAATACAATAATACCCTGATAACAGGAATTGGCTATTCTGTGATTTTGGAAAGACAAAAGTCTGATCACAAAAGTGTTTGAACCTGTGGAAAAAAAGCCCTCCCTTTCGATATGGGACAGGAAGAAACTCCTCATTTGCAAGTTGTTGTCTCCTTGCAGTTCTTTGAAGGTGAGAATTCCCCATTCAATAGCTTTAGATAACTGTGAGAGCTAGTGGGGAATAAAAAAGTTTATTTTGTGAGATGTAGAACAGAGGCAATTTGTCCTTCATTTCACTCAATTTCTTTCTTTTTTTTTCTTTGACGAAAATTTGCCACATTTAAAACAAAGTATTTTTTAAAGTTGTTTTATTTCTAACAGAAGAAAGAAGAAAACAAACAAAAAAACCCCAAACACAAATCTTTCAAATAAACCCCACATTTTAAAAAATCTTTTTTTCCTAGTGGGATATTGCTAAAAATGATGTGTTCTTCTCTTTGGGTTTTTGGCCACACTTTCATTTAAGAAGTATTCTCTTCCCACAGATAAAAAAAGGGAAATGTGCATTAGCTTAAAAACATCCATAAAGCTTAAAAATTTTCATTTGGGATTTTTCTTTGGAAATGGAAAATTAGAGAAAATCAAAATAGGTCAGGAAAAGATTTCCATTTAGCCAAAACAGTGCTTTTGAATTAATTTATTCTCAATCAAAACATTTCACTTGGCTCTAATCACTGGTCTGAAGTCACCCTGCAGCATTCAGGAGGAGTTGATTTAGATGCTCCCATGGGTTCCCGTGAATTGGAAAAATAATCAGTCAATCATTTTCCTGCTCTCAGAGTTTTCTGTTGTCAAGTAATTCTCCAGATCATACTATCCTCTTGCGGAAACACTTTGTCTGGCTTATATTTTTACCTAGCAACAATGATTATAGTATCTGCGGCCACAGTCCAGCAAAGCACTTTACACATATTCTTTAGTTAAAACATAGTCTCCTTGATGTTAATGAGGTATTCATGTACTTAAAGTTAAGCCCAAGTTTAAGTGATTTGTTGGACCAAGTCCTAAACCCTGGAAAAGGGAAGTGCTGAGATCTGTTTTGTGGAAGTGTCCACAGCTTCTAAAGAAGTGTGGCTTGGCAGCAGTTAAAAATTGCATTGATTCAAGTAAATCAGTTTAGAAATTGATGAAGATCCACTTAACCATCTTCCTTTTAAGGCTCCTTTTTAAGTCCCCTTAAAGCTAATTTGATGAAGGGTGCTTTCCAAGCAGTTTAAGACTGGGGCTTGCTCTGACTGACCACGTTCAGCTCATGAATCATAGAATCACAGAACAGTTAGGGTTGGAAAAGACCTTAAGATCATCCAGTTCCAGCCCCCCTGCCATGGGCAGGGACACCTCACACTAAACCATGTCACCCAAGCCTCTGTCTAACCTGGCCTTGAACACTGCCAGGGATGGAGCATTCACAACCTCCCTGGGCAACCCATTCCAGTGCCTCACCACCCTCACAGTAAAGAACTTCTTCCTTATGCTGCAATGAGTAACAGCTTTTGCTGAAAATTTGTCCCTGGATACCCATATGTAATCACCTTGCTGAAGAGGAGATCTGAACAAGCAAACTTTCTGAGGTTTTATACAAATTATATACTTTATAGCAATTTTTTTTTACATCAAAATGATCAAATTATTGTGTTCAAAGCTCTATTGAGGTGATATAACCTGGATATTACTGTAATGTACTCTGCTCCAATATTACTTACATTAAAAACCCCGTCATTATGCATAGTGGGAGGACAAAGAAGGTTCTTCCCACCTTCTTGCACCTTGTAACCTTAAGGATCCCTCTGAAAAGCAGCAGGCAGCATCAGCTGGGTAATATAAATACAGCTATACAGTGCAGTGTAGTGATATTCCTGCCTCAGGGGTTGTCAGAAAATCCCATGTGTTCGGTATAGAGGAGAAAAAAAAGATATATTTCTTGAAAGTCACCAATCACTTGCTTCAGTGTTTTCCTGCAGACCTTACACACACAAAAATGTATTTGAAATATCAATTCAAAATGCTTCAGAGACAAGTTTTCCTACTGGCAAAAGGAAGCTCGTTACTGACAGTGCTATGGGAACAAAAGTATCTGCTGAAAAGCATCAGCCAATGCCCTTCCCTTGGTCTGGGGAGCAGATAATGCAAAAGGATTGTGTAATGTGATGCAGGTCCACCTTTGGGCTAAGTGTATTAGAGGCTTGGGTGGCATCAATAAAGTACATCTAAACCAGGCCCAATTCTCACCTGTGACGCTTAACATGCTTCAGCCACCCGGATTTGGGTGGCTTCAGGTACAGGTGTAATAGGTTGCTACATGCTCTCGCTTGATCCTGACAAAACCCAATCTGTGAGTTATTCTGACGCCTGTCAGGTACAACAAAATGGCACAATACATTTTACTGTTTGCATATTAATCTCATCTTTACAGAGATAAGCAATGAAATATCAATGTCTTAAATCTCTAATTCATTGATTTCAGAATTAGTCTATTTCATCTCTGTATCTCATCACAGCCATCCAGAAACAAGAGACAAGGATAAGAAATCCATAAATACCAGTGTGTGGCTAAAGAACAGTTATTCAAGATAACACATAAATATTAAAACAAGGACAGACTAAAGTCAATATGCCCAAACATATTTTAATCACTTCATAATAAACGGATAATTTTGAGAGACTTCCTAACTCAATTATCCTTTGTTTTTTTCCATTCATTGTTTTACAAATCCTCTTCTAATTCAGGACAGAGTGGGGAAGGGTGTTGGAGCACACCAGTGCCTCTCGCTGATTCTGGCTGGGTTCAGGATATGTTGAAGTCCATTGATCAGAAGGGTCGCAGTGTATTCCAGTGCCTCTGGTTCAGTCCAGCAGAGATGCTGTGCTGACTCCTTCCTTTCGCCTCCACTGCTGCTGCTTCTCCACACCTTCCTAGAGGGGTGAGAAGGTGAATTCAGCACATCTCATCATAGCTCAGTCTGACACCTCTCACAGCTCTGCCACCACATTCCTGGGCAAAGACCAACATCCCTGGGGCAATCCATGCAACTCCATCACTAAGTTGCATCCTGCTCCTGCAGCCCTCTTCCCAGCTTGGGTAGCCATGATTTGGGCTACTGCATATTGGATCTACCTACGCACCAGCATTCCCCTCAACCCTGCTCAATACAGATGGGTTCCTTCCTGAAATATGCCTTCCTGGCAGCGCCCATTGGGAGCATCCAAATATGCAGCCATTTACAGTTTACATTAGCAATGGGGACAGATAGTGAGGGTCTGGTCACCTAAGGCAGGGCTGCTGCTGAGGTGAAGTGATTAAAGTATTAACTGCTGGAATAGCTGTCCATCCCACTCATCTCCATCAGAAGCAATTAATATGGATCATATATGTTTTGCAAGAAGAATATCTTTCCTTTCAAACCTTGGAGTAACTCCAGAGAGGATTAGGTGGAAGACTGAATGAGCTAATTTGCATAAATTAGGTAAAATGTGAATAGTAATTTGCATTCCGGAAGGCTCTCTTTGGCTCTTTATGATATATTGATGCCATCTGGAGAACCTAGCTATGAACCAGATATTTGTTGGAACAATTTTCCGCAGGCTGTTCCCACAAACTTTGCAGGTATGTTCAGAAATATTCCCCTTTCCTCCAATTGCTTGGAGCAGGGTTAAAAACCTCTTAATATAAGTGGCCTTTTTTATCCAACAGAGGACAATTCAGATAGCTTAAGGAGAAATACTTGGTACATTGGAAACACTCTAATTGCTGTTCTTCACCTGAGGCAAATGCTCCCACATGACGCTATGTTGAACACCCATGTTAACATGGCAGCAGGGTATCAGGGTAAGGAAAGGCTCAACCTGGAGTTTCATGCCATTTTCCTCTTCTCAGCTTACTTAATTTCTTTGGAAACCATATTCTATGAACTTCTTTTTATCTCCCTTTGAGTTACACAGCTTTTCCTTGCATCATGCTATTTTCAGCCCCACTATGCTGGAGCCAGCAATGCCTCAGTGATTTTCTCCAGTGCTTTCAGTAGAACATATTAGCTAATTGCCACTCTCTTTCTCTGATGGACCTTAGTGGATCACCCCCTTTTTACAGAGGCAGGAACTGAGGCACCCTTAAATCTCCAGGGCTCATAAATACTCTTCAAGATGATGGACTTCCTGTGGCTCTTGGAGCTGCCGGTGCAGCCATCACTAAATGCCTCTATGGGTGGCTAAACCAGTGGTCTGCAGGCCCTTCTTCCAGAGCTGCTGCTGTGGCTGAGGCTTCTTATAACTGCTTTATACAGACAAAATCATCTGGCTAGAGCTAGACCAGGCAAAGGTAACATAGTCAGGTATCTGTGGAGAAATGACAGTTAGTGGGTTAAAGACGTTACATGCCTCAAGGTTTTAGAGTGAGGAGACAAAGACAAAGGCTCAGAGAAGTTCAAGATGCCAAAAAATGAGAAGAAAACCTCCTAAGATATAACCTTTTTAAAGCAGGATAGTAAAGAAAGCTGACATCAAGTTCTGAATGTGGTTTATAGTATTCTCATACAATCAGAATTGCCACCAACCCCCCAAAAGCAATTATTTCCACAGCTTTTCTCAAGACAAATGTGTCTGAGCTAAAAGACAAACATGAACTGAGGCATGAGTCACTTGCTCAGGCAATTGCCAAGTTCACAGATTGAACTCTATGATAAGTCAAGTCTGTATCAGCTTCCCGTGCTTGAGAGGCTGGATTTGAAATATCCAAGACAAACAGCACTTGACTAAAACTGACAAAACTGGGTTAAAAGTAATATGATCAGATTCATTCTAAATAAACACCTTCAGACTTAAAATGATGCATAAGGATTTTTATAACTGTATAAAAATAAGCATATACATATCTTAGAATAAAATCCTGAGAGCCCTGGAAAGCTCTCTTAGAGCTACAGATTTAGAGGTCATTTCTGTGTGACCCAAAGGCTGAGATGGTATCAAAAATACCTAAAAAGTTTCAGATTCTAAATCCCTGATTGTGCCTAACTCCTTCAGGCCATGCTTTTTTTCCTTTTTGTGAACATCAGCAGTAACTTCTTATGCAACTTTGTATATGTTCTATAAACTTACAATAGTAAATGGTAAACTGTCAATTATCAGATTAAATGTTTTACTCTTGGTGAATGCCAGCAAGTCAATGCAAACCTTTTGTAGAGGAGCTCAGCTGAAATGAATTTCTTCATTTGAAGAAACTGTAATATTTTTAAGTGGCCAAACCATCCTATTTCCTCATTTTCAACAGCTAAGTTAGTTATGTTTTTATTTCAGAAAGCTCGCAACCATCTAAATGAAAAACTTTCAAAGTATCTAAATGAAAAACTTTCAAAGTATCTAAATGAATTGTGCATTGATCTGATCTGTACTTTTTTCAGATTATTGGTTCACAAACATTGATGAATCCAGAACAGGGGAAAACCATTTCAGAATCTTGCAAATTCCCACAGACAGAAAAAAGGATTTTCTTTACTGATCTAATAACAAATAGCAATAATACTGAACGTCATAATTACAGTGATTGTGAGGATAGTTATTGGCACTCTAAATCAAACCTCTCCCGGATAACAGGAGGAGGTGGGAAGGAGTGAGGTGGGCGGATGATGGCTTACAAGGGTGGTCATTGATCGCCTTGTTCATGGTGGATTAACTCAGGAAGGGAGAATCAGATTTATTTTAGCTTCATCTGTGAAGAGACATTGAGTATTTGCTTAATTTTATTGTGTACGTATGGCATAAGTCAATGATTGCACACAATTTATAAAAACCCCAAACATACTAAAGCAATAAAATATTCATTAAGTTTTACTGGCTCGGGGGAGGACTAGATACTTCCTTGGGGTCTTCTCCATCCCTGTCTTCTATGCTTCCACACCCCACAAGTCAGCTCTTACAAAACTGGCCTTTACAGGGCTGGGCTCAGAGCCACACAGGCAGTAATATGAATTACCATTAAGATTCACTTTGAGTCCGAGGAGCATTTGGGCAGGTGGTTTGGTAAGGCAAAATGGGAGGCTCTCCTACATACTCTTGAGATGCTACAAGTTTTATGCAGTGTTTTTCAACCCCTTTAAATTTGCTGGCCTCTAAAACCTACTTGTTTTCCATGTGCAGATTCTGAGCCTACCACCAGGAGCTTTACAGCTTTGCAAGATTCATAGCTGCCCACTGTAGATCCTTTAGAAACAGCCCACAGACCCTCAGGCCTCCTTGGATCGGTGGGTTGAAAAACACTGGTTTGTACCAAAGGACTCCCAAAGAAGCTCCTGCAGGAGGGTGGTGAGGCATCCTGAATGTGCTGAAACTAATAGGACAGGCGCAAATCTTGGCTGGAGATAATGGAGTGGAGAAGTATTCATGGCTTTAAAACTGCCTGCTTGGGTACCAGTAGCAAAGCAGCTCTGCTTGACCTAATTCGCTTTATTCTCAGGTAGATTTTACAGCTCTGTGTTGTTGCTCAGTACTGTGGTACTGCTGGAGCCCCTCTCCTGTTTTAATCCATTTTAATCTTATTGTTGAGTTAATAAAACCTATTGGTTTACTAAATCAATGTAGGGTGTGATTCATTATTATGTGTGCTGGTACACAGATCCTCCCTGCAAACTCTCTCTGCTATAGACTGGAGCATTACTGATCCAATGGAAGTTGGCTCCAGGGAAAAATTACCTCTTACCAGTTGTCATAGAAAGATACTCGCTATGGTGAATTTTTGCTCGTGTGAGACAGAGGTTTTATTTGACTTTGTTGATGCTGACTGCACTTGAAACATTTTTACAAATGATTTAATCTCCAAATAGAAAAGAAACCTCCCTTTGTTTGAGTTCATACTGGAGTCATTTGTGACCATTAAGCAAAACAGCTATGTCCTATAATGAAGAGGGATTAGTAGGGAAACAAATATACTTGTTAGCTTTATCTTTCACCCTGCACGTATTAGAACAAACCCATGTTTCCAGTTTGCATTTCATTTTCTTTATGGCAGGCTGCTGGAGCCGAGACAGAAGTTTAAAAGATAAATTTATTTAAAATCTGATTTTTTTTCTGTTTTTCTGTCTCAGATCAGATCATTCTTGCCAACTGTCTTCATTTAGGAGGGTCAATCTGTATTCTACTAGAGAAACAGACAGAATTTTTTCATGCCGTTCCTCCCAATAGCTTTCCGAAAACGATGAAATTCTATGAACTTAGAAAATATCCCTCTTATTTATGGCTTTGCAGGTATCAGGGATTTGACAGAACCTTTTTCTTCTTTAAAATCCCTTTTCAGTTTTGATTTCTTTTAATTCTTGTGAAAGGACTTGGAAGGGCTTGAATCAGGAAGTGCTGGTCTCCTGGGAGGTGTACACTGGTTTTCCTGATCAATAAGAAATATCCAAGCTGTCACACGCCATGTAAAAAAATCAGGGTAAACTCCCCTGTGCTATGTGCAAGCCACAAGTCCTTGTACATAAGAACACATCCCAGGGTAACAAAACCAGGACTCCCAAGGACTTCATGACAGCTGTGAAGGTCTCCAGGCTCTGACATATGATCAAAAGAGAGCAACTTAGCAAGTTACCAAACATCAGAAGAGCTGAGGTAGCAATCTGGGCACACGTTCTTGGCTTGTGACGAAGATATAATAATGCAATTTAACTTAGCTGACAGTGAAACAAAGTGAAGCTACATCATATTATTTTGCATTAGCTCCAGGCAAAGAGCATATGGACAGGTACATTCACCCTGCTGACGTGCAATAACATATTAAGCCTCTATGACCTCATGTTTTATCCAAAACCATCAGATCTTCTTGCTTCAAATATCTTAGGCTTTTACTGCATCAGCCAAAGGGGATTCTTTAGCCAAGGTTCACCAGGGAAAGGCAGCAGGGATACACCACCCCCTGTGCAAATTAGTGTCATGCAAACAGATTGCACTGAGCTAATGTGAGGTTTGTGGTCCCAATACCACCAGCACAAGGAGACAATGTTCCACAGGACAGACTCAAATCTTCAAGCTAAGGTCAAATATCTAAACCTTAATTCAGATGCGGGTCAATGGAAACAGGGTCCCATTACAGAAAGAGGCCTCAGCTGCCCAAGTGAAGTGCCTGGATTTCAGCCACCTCAGAAACATTAAGGGATTTTTACAGACTTAAATGGCCTTTGCCCTGTACTTACTCGGGTGCCTTCTCCAGCAAATGGCACTCTGGAGACTTTCAAAGAATAACCAGGAAAATGCAGGGAATTTACTTTGAACTAGGAGTATTTGGTTTGGGAATTAAAAAGAGACAACGACAGCTTGAAAATGCAAAATCAATCATGAACTAGTTCATTAGGGCAGTGAAAGTCTCAGCTGAGAGGGCTGAGCCCCTGAGATCCATTTGTACATTGCTATAGATTGCTCCATTGTGGTTGTTGTTGCCTTAATTTCCTTCAGAAAGGCAGGTTGGATAACAGTATCTGGAGTCTTCCTGTAGACAGGGCAGGAGGATGGGATTAGTGCTCATTTTAGATGGCGAGAAGAGAACCTGAGCACTGGTTGAGTACAGGAAGTGACGAGGAAGGCTTTATTTCTTTCATACCCAGAAAGCTGCTTATCTCTCTGCCCCCACTTTTGGTTACCTTCTGTTTCTCCCGCTTTTGTCACGATGCAGCAGCACCCAGCAGTCAGCAGGGATGGAATTCATGTGTTTAACATTAATGGGAACGTTTCCGAATGTTTTATCCCAACCAGCCCTTCGGAAGCTGTAACCAGGCTTTTGCTTCCCAGGACCCTTTAAAAGCTTCCTTTTCTTGTCTTTGCTGGGATCTGGGGCCAGCAAAGGGTGAAGTTGTCTAGCTTCAGCCTGGACATCGGGTGGGTTGGGGATTACCACATAAAGTGCCATCTATTTGGCACTTGAAGGAGGAGGGCGAGGGCTGATATTTGGTCTCTATTATTTGTAGAATAGCAAATGAAAGCACAAGGCAAGCACATGCAAACGTCTAGTTGGTTGAGGCTGTGGCTGGCTCCTTATTGATTTCCTCATTTCTCCTGTTCTTTCCTATTATTTTCCCCAGGATGGGATTATCTCTGGATGATAAATTATCCTTTTTCATCTAAAGATGGTGAACGGCATACAAAGGCACTGCTCTCCACAGCACCTCCTGGCACTATTGTGACACAACTACCAAGAGGTGAGGACAGCCACATGCAATGTGATCTGCCTGGCTCAGCGAGTTCAGGGGAGAAAAGCAGGCAAGGAGGACAAGGACAGAGCTCCCACCTGGATGAAACAGAATACAGGTAACTCCCCTCATCCTCTTGCTGAATTGGCATATCTTGGAACTCTGAGGTCCTAATGATGGATTAAATACAGCAGGAAAGGGTCAGCAAGCTCTGACTGTGAAATTAATCACCCAGCAACAGTTGCGGAGGGCAGTTGTGCTGCTAGAATGCAGTGCTCCTTCCTCCGAGGACACAGTGAGTGCTAGGGTAGGCTGGAAAGGAGGGTTTTCCCAGTACCTGTCCCTCTTGCCCCCTTTTCCTTTCACAGTTTTCTTTTTGGATCAATGGCTTTCAAATCATCAGTCCACCCTGGCTTTTTTTTACAGCAACTGACCTAGCAAGAACTGCATCAGTAAAAAAGAGCCTCTGACTGAAATTTCAGCTACAAATCACTGTCAGACTTCAAAGGTAACTTTTCTGCTACAGAGCTGGAGTTGATATATATGTACATAGGGCCACCAAAAGATTCTATTCTTCTACTCCATGGAGTATTTTCAGTTCTTGACCCAGGGTTATATCTGTGCACAGGGAGAAGAACAGGAAAGAAGGGGGGAGCAGGAGAGAGAGAAAAAAGTAGGACATTAGTACCTGTGCTTTGTGGTCCAGGTATGAATTAAGTTATTCTGCTGAGATTAGAGGTGCTAGGCAGGATCTAGGGGAGCTGCTGAGGTTCTCCTGATTTTACACACCCCGGTGAAATAACCATAAAAAAGCCAACATGAAAAGCTCTGACCATTCTTGTGTGTCTCTGCTACTCCCAGTGCAAAGCTCTTTGCTTATGCACCTGTGTATGAATATGCCCAGGTACCCCTGAGATTAGGTTTATCTTTAAACAAGTTCCCTGGTGACTCTTGCAGCACAATCTCAGTTGGCAGCCACTGCTCTCTGTGTGGGTTATGCTTTCTTATTATTCCCAGCACAGGGCAGATCTATCAGGGAAGAGACAAGGACATTTTGTGTCAGGGCCTGAAAAAAGTCTTCATGCATAGAGCTTGTAGGCAGACAACTCAAATCGCTGGCACAGAACTAAACTCTGGAGTCCTCCTGATACCCGGATGATTGTTCTTCTCAACCTACTTGCATTTTATTTTACGTGTCTCTTATTTCCACCTCTGCCGCTTGAACCACTAAGTTACAAATCTGTCTAGTAGAAGAATCTCTGCTCCATCAAATGGCCTCCCTGGGCTTTAGAACTCCATTAATTAGCATCTTTTAAATGGTTGGGTAATATTCGTTTCTCCTCTTCGAAACTATTTCCCCAAGCCCTAATTTTAATAAAGCTGGTGCTCATGAACGTTTGAATATTAAAGCCCTTGGTTACAGAAAGACGAAAGAGGCATTTTAAAAGACAGCTGAGTAGGGATTACTTAAATGGCTGACATAATTCTGTGTGTATGTGTGAGTGTGTGAATGTGCAGCACCTCGGAGATAAAACATTGTCTTAAAGGCATTTCTGTGTCAGTGTGTATAAGGTCAGAATAAGTGCCACTTGGGTGGCTGTGTCTGTCAGGATAGTAACAACACCAGGGCCCCTGGGGAAACGTAGTACAGTGCAATATGTTTAAGTGTGGATGACAGCTTATTTCAAAACACAAGAGAAAGGGCTGTGTTTGCTTTGTATAGTTGCATGCACTGTTTCAGGTGTGAAAAGTGAACTGAAAGCTGCTGTATGCTTAAAGAACCTACATTGAGAATGGTGGTTTGTTTTTTTTATTGAGAGCATAAAGCTGGGTATTCTTCACTCAAACTTTATAACTCCACCATCTGTGGCTGCTGATGCCAAAGGCAGAAGCAGTGAGCCTGGTTCTGGGGAAAGCACTTATCTGATGGGATTGATGCCACCAAAATCAGTAGGTTGAGCAGGGTATCACTAGCAGGGGTTTCCTCACCTTGCCAGCAAGGTTCAGCTTTACCCTGGAGGAACCAGAGAGCAGCCTGGACTGCATCACCCTTTCTTTTCCTCTCCTGACACTGCCAACAGAGGTGTCAGACTGATGAAGGTTTTCATTATGTTGCTACATCTTGTCAGCTCTGGACAGGGCATAGACTCTTTGATTCATATCTCACAGGCTAGTGGATCAGATGGGAATGATTTCTGTCTTATCACAAGTCTAAGGCTCGGTGATCAGTGAGGTATAAGTATTTCTTCAGATACTTCAGCCTGCCTGAGCAAGATTTACAGCAGTTTCCTTGCTGAAAGGCTTTATACACTGTCAGACCTCTCCTAAGTCAGAGAGCTGCCTATCAACGGACTGTTATTTGCTCAGAAAGCAGCTGTGTTTTCCCACTAGATGTAATGGCACTGCCATGATTTGTAGCTGTTGTAAAATGATGATAATCTGTTATTCACAGCCTACCAAAGGTGTAGTCCCTGGGTTTTGCTGAGCCATACCAAGTACCCAAGCTAATATGATACCTTTAAAATAGATTGGAAAATTGGTTCTTCTTTTGATTCACCTGCCATGCCCTGATCTTGCTGCCCTCTCTACTATGGTCATTGCTGACCCTGAAAGCATCCTGAGGAAACCTTGGGGAGCTGATCCTGCTCCCAGGCAATTCACACAGTGGCAATGCTCCTCACCTCTGGTGGTGCTCAGGTGAAAGGAAGAACCTATTTTTCAATAGTTTCACTCCCTGTATTGGAGTCAGTGGTGGATTCAGGTAACAGTTTCAAATTTTCAGCCATTTTCTTCTTAACAAAAAGGCTTTCCAAGAATGCACCAGCACAGTGTGTGACAAGGATGCATGGGCTGCACTGAGCCCTTCTCCCTTCTCCCAAACCATGAACCTCTAGCCACTGAACCTTAAGGAAATGTTCCTTAGCTGACCCTACTCACAGAATAGTCATGGGAAGTCAACATTGTACGCTGACTTGCAGACAGAAGGCTGGCGCCCTGTATTTGGAGGTCAGCATGTTGAATTTGGAGGAATTGCAGCAAAAAGATAATGCGAGAGAGCCCCCTTCATGCTAAGCCATGAAGATGGCTCCTAGCTCCTCTGCAATTTCCCTCTAAGCTATGGGAAATGTGTATGGTGCAGAGAATCTACCAACAGAGATCTGACTGCAGAGCTCTGGGATTTATATTCATGTTTTGCATGGTCACAAACTTAAAATTAGTGAAGAATACTGAAGTTTGACTGCTCTTCCCCCTGCTTGTTGGAATCCTCTCTGTGGTCTGGGGTTATTTCCAAAGAACACCTTTGTAATTCTAAATACTGGTGCAAATAAAGGTGGAGTGAAGAAGAGGCTGATTTTGATTTGCTGCAGATGAGTACAAATTCAGCCCTTGGGTTTGGAGCTGCTAGTGAAAGGATGAAGTCCAATGGCTAATACGTAGGAGTAAATAGCTGGCTAAAGTGGCAGCGGCAACACTGTGGCTCTTCAGCTGCGTGTGGATCACGAGCCCATCTATCTTCCATGGTCTATTCTTGAGTCTATTCTTCACCGTGCAAAGCCACAATACCCTGTGTGTGTGGGTCCTGCATGGCAATATTCTGGTCTCTGATTGGGAAAATCGGAACATTTACTCTCTTGGAGAAGGTTGAACTTCTCTACCTAAAGTAAGAGCAGTCAGCTGCCAGGTCAAGGGACACAACAGCAAATGCAGTGACAAGGCTGAGGTTTATGTAGATTTTTACCAGCTCCAACAATCCCACAACGTGCAGGATGTGCTTACCTTGTTTTCTGTACTCTTTCGCTTCTCTTAAGTTATGCTTGTGGTTAAAATGTAGGGTGGTTTGCTTTAAAACTTGGAAAGCTCTGTATTGTCTACACTTATTTAGCTATAGAAACCTGATCTTGAAAGACAGAAAGAAAAAAAGAAAGAGAACAGGAATTTTATATACACAAAGTCAAATGTTTACTTTCTCTACCTTATTTCTTTGCATCTGACAAAATAATTGTCTAGAAGTGGAGACCCTTCTGGGTGAGATGGAAAAGAATACATTTTTTCTGGGGGTGATGCTTAATAGGTGAAAGAGATTATTACTGGTTCTAAGCGCAGAATAAAGCTCAGCTTCAGGCCTTCTTGGCTTAGGATGAAAACATCTTTTCATGGATTTCTCTGCACATGGAGGAAAGTGAATCTTTCTCTCTTGTAGTAATTGCATTTTTAGCCACAATTGCCTGTTATCTTTGCGTTTCCCACAGGTGGTGATATTGGTTTCCATGAAGGGTTTGCTGTAGCTGTTCATCTCTCAAAACCCTTTGTGATATTATGAAATATCAGGCTGCCAAGCAATCAGCATGGTTTTTTTTCCTAATGAACACACATGCACAGGCAGTAATTTGTTTATTCAACCCCTCATGCAGGTTTGCAATTTACTCCAAAAAGCAAGCAGCAGCGTAGAGAGAAACCAGATTATGGTGCAGGGGAGAGATGGAGTCCCTTCCCAGGGACTGCCCTGGGAGCAGATCCAAAGGCTGTTGGTTTACTGGCAGGCTGTGACACCACCAGTGGGAATCTCTTTAACTTCCCCCCCATTCAAAGCATTTGAATTCTTATTTTCTTTATCAGGAAGCCTTTGCTACACCATTCACAAAGTCTCTTTGCCAGCATGGAAATAATTCTAATCACCTAAGTTTATTTTCCCCTTGTTCTCTCTTTACTGCAGTCTGATGAAACTGGTTTGGTCAGCTTCCCATGTGTTAATAGGCAGATTCACTTTCTGATTTTCAGTCACGCACAACACAGCAAGAAAACAGCTCACGGGGGTGATCAAAACACCTCACTGAAACCATTTCTGCTTATTTTGTGGTTTGCAATTATTCTTTTTTCTCTTTTTCTCCTTCTGCATCATGGAACTATTGAGTCAAAATTAGGTTGCCAGCATCACTTAAAAATAGATGAGCTATTTTAAATCCTGAGTCAGTATTAGAATCCATAGGCAGGCTTAAAAGAAAAAAAAGCAAACATTTATCCTCAGAATCAGCATAATTGACAGAGTTATTCTTTGTTTTACCTTAGCAAGCCCTGAATTTCTGATTACTTGCTTTTTTTTTCCCACTGGTACTGGTGAATATTAGAAGTGTGGAAGCAAGGACAAGATGCCAGATTGCTGAAGACAAAACATTGTTAATCCACTTTCCTCTTCTGCTCTGGCCTCAGTCTGTGGGGAATTGAGGAGCGTGAAGGTGAAAAGGGCAGGGAAACAATTTCTGAAAACCTGCTCAGTGGCTACAGGAGAACAGCATGAAAACAGCTCTAAAACTCCTTGAAGTATTGTTTTATCCCTGTGGTAACCTCACTTAAACCATCTTTCACCTCCTCTTTAGTTTCTGCTACAGAAGAAAAGGGGGAGAAGCAAGACAATGAACAGAGATGGGAGAGATTTTTCTATTTCACAGTTTTCTCCATGGATTTAGTGGTAGCAAAAAGGAATGGACCCATTCCCAGGCTGAACTTGGGGCTGTATGCTTCATGAAGACCCAATTGGCAGCAGATTTCAGTTCTGCAAGGCCAGACCCATTCCTTGTTGAGCAGATCCTGCTTAAAGAAACTGACCGTAACATGGAGCTGACAGTCTTGCCACCATGTGGGGCTGTGGACACTGAGCAACCAGCAAGTGGTGGTCCTTGGCAGTGATTAGAAAGAGTGAGGCACCTGGGCTTACATACCATGTCCTCCTGTGAGGAGAAGGGAGCTGTGATATCTAAACCTTCATTCTCTCAGAGCAGAGACCTATCTACCTGTCATGACTCCTAACTTGATGTGTTTTCAATGCAGTATTTCGTGATGGATGATTTGGGCCCCCTACCATTTACCTGCCAAAAGTTAATGTAAATGCTCCAGAAGTTTGCATAGG